CTTGCATCAATTCCCCTGCCCTACACACACGGCCATAGACACGGGGACACTCTACCCCAGCTGAGAAAGACACGTAGAGTTAGAGCATGCAAACCTTAGGAGTCCACGGTACATCTGACCCCACCATCCCACTACCTGGAAGGAGCCTTCCCAGTCCAAAGCTCCAAGGTTAGGAGAGAGGCAGAAATGACTAATCATGCCCTTGCCAAGTGGTTAAACCAGAAGGATAACAAGACCATTCAATGCAGCAACAGCCCCTGAGATCTTTTGGCAGGAGCCAGTCCCTCCAAATCAAGACTCTGGCATGAGTGTACAACGCACTGAGAGGACAGTTACCATCTGTTTATGGAAAAAATGTTAATAACCGCCAATCATAATCAAATAGGCAAGCACTTTACTTTAAGTACCTATTAACTAAGGCTAATTTACAATGGAACAATCGCACAAGCTCACCCACAGGCTGTCAGAGGCACCAACACACATCCACCATCAGGCTGAAATGCAAGTAGTGGCTGAGGAGGCACTTAAAGCTTACTCGTTTCTGGAAGCCCAAGCAGCGGTTCTTAACTCCCTTCCTTCCCAGCCTTCGGCCTCTGCTGCCCTGCTGGTCCCCAAAGAGATCAAGGGAGTCTTCTGGGCCTTCTCCTCACTCAGCTCATACTTTTTCCCAAGGCCAGGTGTGTCCCAGGTTGGAAAAAGCAGATTAGTAAGAGAAATGTTTGAAAACCCCATTCAAGAGGGACAGAGGGAAGCAGGATAGAGCTAATGTATTCACAGTTCAGCCTCCTTCCCAGGCCTCCCACTCCCAGCACAAACCAGGTACGAGAGGAAGCAGAGCCACTGCTCCAGCCTGCTCTGGGCTCGGGCCCAGCTCTGCATTGCTCTGGGTCTCAGTTTCATTAGCTGTACAATGGGGGATGGGGGGACATTCTCTGAATAAGCAGCCTAACCATACTGTGAGAGTGGAGCAAGGCACATCCTCAGCCTGGCCTCAGTCTCTTCATCTGCACACATGGGCCCAATTAGACCATCATGGTCTTTTAATGCCTACTTTAAAAATATATTGAGAGGATAAACTTGGCATTCCCAGCCCAGGATACACTGCTGCAACATAATTAATTGTTAAAATATTAAATATTTTTACACATTTATGTACCTCCAATAAATAGCCCCTGCCATGAGCCCCAACTCCCCACCATCTTGACTGCCCCATGACCTGGCAGTTAGAGTAAAGGCTTGACACAGTGGGAACCGCCCCGGCCCCTCCTCCCTCCCACCTAGAGCCTGCTCCAGCAGGAGAGCTGGCTGGCTGTCCGTGCCCAGGCCACACCAAAGACTTCACAAATCACACCTGCTGTTCTAAGGCAGTGGTCTCACCACCAGCAAAAAGGAAGCTCCACTGTTTGCACAGGTGCCCTTTTAAAGCACTTGTGATTCTAAGAGAAGATGAGCTCGCATCCTAAAGTGACCCCCTCCCCAAGCCTAAATTTTGATCGAGATAACATTTAATAAACGGACAGAGGGGTCTGAGGCAAAGCATGCCCAGTCTGTTTCTGTAAGATCTGGCTAACACACGCATCTCCTACAAAGTAGGAATTCCTGCACACGCCGACATGGAGTGATCTCCAACACATAACAAGCAAATAAAGCAAGACGCATGGTACCCAGAGGCCAAACATGTATAAATTAAAACATGCACAGAGCAATGCATTTTGCAAATGTCTACACATGCATGTGTGCATGTCTACCTACGGATATACAGAGATGTTCACACGTAGGTATGTAGACACATTAGGCAGAAGTATAAAAACGAACTGGTTACCAGCTATGCCCACTCATTTGCATGACAGAGGCAGTTGTTAATCTGGCAGTCTGAGAGATACATGAGTCTGTCTGGGAGAAAGCCATGAGGAGAGAAACAGCATGCAGAGAGGTAGAGCTACGGGAAAGACTACAACCAGGGCATGGAGGATACAGCTAGACTCAAGCCAACGGCTGCCTATGGAGACAGGAATGGGAATAGGCCCGAGGTGACGACTAAAGTGGTTTTAAGTTTATCAGTCATATCTTATCTCTTCTAAGAAGAAAGCATTAAACGCAAATATAAAACAAAACAGTAACAGCTGCACGTACTAGGCAGGAGAGATACAGGTGTTTGTTATATTAATCCCTGCATTGTTCTCAGAAGGAAGCAAAGTTCGTATTAACAGGCCCTCCTCATCTACACACGGTGTTTCCAGGCCCTCAGATGGAGACGGTGGGAACTGTTTATGAGTTTTCTTATCATCTCCACTGTACTTCCCACTGCCCAGACATCTCAGATTTCCAAACTAGCCCTAATTAGCCAGTTGCCGATTTACAAGCTGTGCTTTTCTTTCTGATTAAAATTAAAGCCATTCATTTCTAAGTTCAACAAGCATTTGTCAAATGCTGTGTGAAGTCGCAGGCATGAGACAGGGTTCCTGCATAAGCTGCTCCCGGTCTAGTAGGACAGACAGACGGTGTGTAAGCAAAGCAAGGACAGCGCCCTGGGCTCCGTGCATCATAGAGGAGTTTTCACTGTATGTGATGTGGGACAAAAGAGGGCCTGACTGAGTCTTGGGAGGGCAACAGAAAGAGTCCAGCAAGATTTGTACATAAAGAAAATAAGTGGGAAATGGCTCCCATAGAGCCCGCTCTAGATGCCAATTACACTCGGATCTCAGCAGCAACCCAGTGAAGTCGGTAGTATTATTCGTATTAGAAGTTGAGGAAAAAGAGGCCCCAAGATGTAAGTTACTCTGAGGAAGCCAAACAGCCATTACGTGGCATCATACATTCTCACCCAGATTCAAAACTGCAAAACAGAGTCCGAGGTGGATGTAAAGCGATGGGACTCTGCCTAAGTCAGAGTTGGAGGACTTCTGGTACCCATGTGGTCACTTATTTTTCCTGGGCTGAGATGCTCACTGGCAATAAAAGGTCAAGGGTATATGCAGCTTGAGGTATTTCCCCATTTATCCTAAAATAAGGCCTGAGCACAATTGGACTTAATCAAGATCAGAGGGTCAGGCTTAATCCCAAATTAGATGAGTCTTGGCCGCACCATCTCATCTAGCCTCTAACTCCAGCATAACTTCTTTAAGTTGCCTAACTTGAGAATAGATGATATTTCACTCCCACCTTTGTGGACATGTTCTCCTGACCCAACCGGGCCCAGGGACAGCTCCCCTGGCAGAGGGGAGCAAGGGTCAGAGAGGCTCCGAGGACAGCTGAGGGGAGGCACCGCCCTGGGTGCTGCCTAATCCATCCGACACGGGGACATGCTGTTCCAGAAACCGGATGACAATTAATAGGAAAAATCTGCTCTTACAGTACTGCCAAGCGTGTCACAGGGTCTCAGCTGGTGGTGCGCCTCATTGGGGAAACAACAGTGCCCCCTTCTTCCCTTTAGTCAGGGCCCCGATGTTTTCTCAGGTGGAAGGAGGAACAGCTATGGTAGGAAAACTTTGCACAAATAATAGCACCAGTCCTGAAAGCCAGGAGCCCAGGGATTGTCCTGAGATTGAAGGCTGTGAGCTCATTCAGGGGTCGCCCCATCTTCTAAACCTAGGAAGCCCTATCTGACACATGGTGAGTGTTACTAAACACATCTTCAATCAAGAAGCTTCAGAGTGGTCTGATTATTTATGTCATATGGCCTCGACCCAACAAACTTTTACCTCCTCTTTATAATTTTCCTGCACATGGATTTCTCTAGGTCAAGAGTTCAGATGGTTCAAGAAAACCTGGCTTGCCTTGCTATTACCTGTTCAGGTTCAGGAGCAGAGAGTACAGAAGGCCTCTCGGGAGACTGGCAGTCTGTCCCCATGCTTGCTACCCTTCTAATCCTCTCTGGGTATCTTCCCATTCATCAGTGTTCTAAGTTTTTAAGGGACTCATAGAATCTTTCAGGAATATAACGAAAACTGTGAACTAGTTCTATTCCCTGTACACTCAACCCCCTGCCATGCACAAACTCTTAAACAGTTGTATATAAGTTCAGGCGATCAATGTCCTTGTGAATGGCATTCATGGACTCTTTAGTCCCTGGATACCAAAGTCAGAACCCCCACTACTCACACATTGAAGCCACGAAGATTCATCTTTCTAGACTGCACGGTCTCACCAGAAAATGCCGACCTAAATCCTAGCTCAGCAACCTGATGGTTTGTCAGACCTTCCGTGGTCCTTCCCTGCGTGCCCCCACATCAGCCATACATGGAAACTCCAGCTGGGAGCATATCTTGAAATTCAAGTTTCTGTTTTGAAACTGGTACCCAGCCTCCTCTGAACCATTTGGTCACATCCATCTCTGGGATCAGGCAGGTGGATGCTAATTCACCATGTTAACCCCTTTTACACCAGTCCCCTTACCCAAGCCTTGGCAGAGAGCCACATCCTACCCCCAACCTCCACCACAATGAGTTGGGATACTCTGTGTCATGGAAGCCGGCCAGCAGATTTAGAAATCATGTTGCTCTTGGCATGGGTTCTGGGACTCTGCGTAGAGTTACGTGCTGAGATACCACTGCATGAGCAGTTTTCCAATACCAGAGTCTACCACCCTCCTTCTCACTTTGCTACTGTCATCCCAACGCAACTCCAAAGATGGATGCAGACAAGAGGAAAACCAAGTCCCCAAACCCAGAGTCCCTTTACCCAACAATTATGAAAATAAACCTGAGTTCTTCTTCATTCACCCTCACATCCAACTCCCTTCCCACATCATCCTCATGGCACAAGCCCACGTAAGCAATCTTTATCAGCAACCAGAGTAAGACCGTGCATTCCTCAATTTGGTTTCCACACATCTCAACACTGTCTAGGATCCATAATTACCAAGACCAAGAACGTAGGCAGGGGTCTCCACGAGGACCACTTAGGTTCCACGATCAGCAGAGAGAGATGCAAATGTCTGTTGATCAAAAGTAGCCATGTTTCCCCCCATGACACCCTGGAAGATGAAAATCCCACCTTACCCTTCATTCCAAATTTGGACCGCCGACCATACTTGTTGATCATGATAAAGAGAACCACCAGCAGGACACAGGCAAAAGCAGCAAGCCCAACTGCTATGGACACCTGTTAGGGGCCAAGACCAGACAGTCAGGAACAGTGACAGAAAACCCAAGTGCCTTAAAGTGACGTGTGTGCCGGATGAGAACAGTCCTACTTCAGTAGTAACTGTAGCCCTCTCTGAACTGCACTACTGAGTAAGGTCTCTAGAGGAAGTAATTTGTAAGACCCTAAGAACATTGAAAAATAGATAAATTACCCAACTTGATTAGAGAGAGTTCCCTGACTCAATGGTCTGAGCCCTTCTCCCCTGAGGTCATCCTAAGAGATGCAAAAGCAAGTCTAGAGAGAATTCTCTTATTGTTTTAATTATCAAGATAATTCTGCATCTTCACAATGGAATTCTTTCCATAATATCCCTATCCAGGAAGGAAGGATAGTCCTATCCTGGACTCAAAAAGACTTTTTCCCTCACCTGTCCAGAGAAATCTCTGGCTCTGAGAGAGTAGGGGGGAGGCTCCTGACAACCCACTCAAGGAGAAGCCTTGAGCAATATGGACTTTTGTAGAAGGCTGGGACAGTTGACAGGCTCTGCGGATCAGGCCCAGCTGGGCTCCTAACAGTCTGGGGATTTTCAAACTGTTCTCTTCCAAGCCCTAGGGCTGGCAGCAGATCCTCAAAGACTTTCTCAAACAATGAGATTTTCCCATCAAACAAGGCAGGTTCAGACAACTGAACGGAGTTCACCATTGCTGCTTTTTCTCTGCCGTATACACTGAGGTCCCAACTAAGGGACTATTTGGAAAAGTCAGCAACACAGGTGAAGCCTGCAATCTGCTACACCCATAAACACGCCCCTCTGGACTAAGAAGTCACTCACCCCGAAAGTGTCTTCCTCTGGCTTGTGGGTCACAGTAATAGGCGGTGTGGGGCTCACTTCATCCACTGAAAACCAAACACAGAAGGAGGAGGGCACTGAGCTCAGCTGCAGGCCCTGCCTGGTTACCAAGCCCTGGGGAGACCTCCTGCTGGAGAACATCCTCTGGAAGGGAGGCTCCCCCTGCCCCACAGGCTTTCCGAGAGTCCCCAGAGGGAAGTCCCTGTCTGGCCACCTGACCCATGCTACAGTTGGGGCGGGCTCCATAAGGAATAAAAAACCTTCACTCCCATCCTCTATCCCTACCCCAGAGAGAATATTGTAACCTGGGCAACATGGACCATGAGCTATATGGCATAGAAAAGAGGAAAATGGCTTGGGATCTTGGCCAGGGTCTGGATTAGGCAAATTGTACCGCTGATGGCAGCTGTTGCTGGCATTCCGCTACGCCTTGCCATGGGTATTACTTTCCCCTCCCCAGCCCTTTCTCTTCCCCTTTTTCCTCCTCAATGAGACCAAGGCAGTGTGAGGCCCCATAACCAACACTATCCATATCTCTGACACTGATTTCAGAACACAGAGCCATCCCACTGGGAACACCACCTTTATGCAGCAAGGCCAAGATAGAATGCCAAGTATCTATTTGTCCCCCATCTAGAATCACCTCCTAGGCAAGACATGGCCCCCATTCAGAATTCTCTGAAGGTACATTCTAAGCAATTACAAGTCCTCTAAGACCAGGGACAACTAAAGGAATCATAGGTGACATTTGCATCTATGCCAAGCAGCCGGTGGTGTTTCTGAATAGCATAATCTACTATCCTGGGCCAGACACTGGCCAGAAATGACAGCGACTACTGCTGTCACTCCCATCTCCATGGGGAGGAAAAGAAAATGGAATAAACATAAGTTCTCCCATAGTCCACAAACAAAATCTCAAAACATTTTAGGACTGTCTAGCCCTAGCGCCACATCACTTATACACTGAGCCTCAGTAATTCCACTTGAGGACGCATGAGTCGATTAGATCTTGTAAGTCACAGCTCTACAATGTGTGTCCTGGCCAAATCCCCAGATTCTTAAAGCTGCGGAAAAACACTAGAAGGTTTATAGGCTCCCTGTTCTCCGGGAGAACAACTAAGATGATCAACAGAAGTCCAGCAAGGCACATGAAACCCCACATCTATCCTGATACAGCAAATTTATCCAGGTAGAGACCCACAAGGAGCTCAGATATTAGAAAACTCCCCAGGGGAAACCAAGGCATGGGATGATTAGAAATGCAATAAGCATTTCTACTCTCCAATTCTTTTTCCCAGTTCATTGAGATGCCCTCAGCTGCCATGGGCTAGGGATGATGTGGACTAGGAGAGAGAGCTATTTGCATTCAACAGTTATCAAAAATAGCATAATGAATCAGTTTCAAAGCAAAAGGTAAAGGAGACTTACCCAAGATAAAGTTATCTGTGCTCTCTGAAAAAAAAAAAGAAAGACAAAGAGATAATTAACACATGTAATAAAAACCAGAATACACATACTGTGTCTATGATCCTTCCCATGTACCATGATCCCTTGTTCCCAACAACTGACAAACTAAAATCCTTGGCATGTCACTCCTCTCTCCACACTACACTATCTCTGTAGTGAGTGGTCCACCAAATGGGAAAGAAATAAGAGACTAAGATCCTGGTTGGAGGTGGCCCATAATATGGGGAACTAAACCTAGTCCCACTGTGTCATCCCCAGCCCTCCCCCCCAAAGACACAGAGTGCTAGGGATGGTGCTGCACGGTGGCCTCCATGGTCCTTTCTTCAAAGTGCCAACTCTGATCTCAAGATGAAATTCCTCAAGTGGCTATATATAGAGGTGATTAGTATAGCTATATAGTAGGTCATTGAGCAGTTCTTGGGAATCCCTCTAGAATCTGCCCATCCCCCAGTTGGAAATATGCAATTTGATCTTTGACCTCTAGAAATAGCTCACCTCATAATGAAAGCTAATCTTTACTGGACACTGATTATGATCCAGGTCTATGTTCAATGCTTTATATAACATATCACTCAATCCTTATAACCATACTAGGAAGTGAAGGGTAACACATTTCACAGATAAGGAAAGAGGCTTTCACAGACTTAACTAATTAGATGCCATTCATCTAAGAAGGGCTTAGAGCTGGGTTCAAATCCAAGTCCAAGCTCTTGACCACTCTCCTAGAGATGCTCCAACTTCAGCACCCTACAGAATCATCTGGAAGGTGATCACTATCAGCCTTCAACAAAGGGAATGGGGCTTCTTTGCAGAAATGAAATAATTTCAGGGCTGAGACAAAGACAGTACAGGATGTGCCTGGAACAGCCTATGGCTCTAGAAAATTGAATGGGGGCCCGGACAGAGGCTATGGGAGCTGCCAATGGCCAAATGTGCGACCATTTGAGCAACAAAATAATGGTAGTCATAGACTGTTATGAATGGAACTGTGTCCCCAAGATCCATATATGAAAGCTGTAATCCCTAGTACCTCAGAATGTGACTGTATTTGGAGAAAGGATTTTAAAGAGGTACTTAAGTTAAAATGAGATCATTAGGATGGGCCCTAATCCAGTAAGACTAACATCCTTATAAGAAGAAATTTGAACATGTAGACATGCAGAAGAAAGACCACATGATACACGGGGAGAAGACAGCCACCCGCCAAGGACAGAGGTCTTGGCAGAAATCAGAACTACAGATACCTTGACCTCACACTTCGTCTTCAAAATTGCATGAAAACATATTTACGTTGTGTGAGCTACCCAGTCTGCAGTACCTCACTATGACAGTCCTAGTAAACTAATACACAAATTCTTAGCCATAGAACAAAATAAACACCCATGAGTCCATACTAATGCAAATAATTAAACAAAGAAATGGGAAAGAAGGGACAGCTCTTCCTTACAGAACTCCAATTAATAAATGTAGATGCAATGATGGAAATAGAATAATCACCATTTGGCAAATCCTACAGTAATAATTGTTTCAGGCAAGACTCATCAATGAATGTTAAAACAAGACCGTGAAAGAATGATGAGAAGCAAGCTATTTGAGTACTTTTAAAATATTATATTGGTTACTTCCAGAGGGAAAAATAGTTTGCAGTAGAGAAACCTGGCAGACACCACCTTGACCAGGTGATGACATTAACACCCTCGATGCTAACCATATCAACATCATGCCCTCCCCCGTGTGACATGATGAAAGGACAGAGCCTCACTTCTGTGTTGATTCTTGCTGAAAACAATCAGACAACTTCAAAACAAGGGACAGTCTACAAAAGAACCAGTGAATACTCTTCAAAAGCGCTATAATCATGAAAGATAAAGACCGGAGAACTGTCCCAGACTTAAAGAGACTAAGGTGACAGCAACTGAATGTGATGTGTAACTCTGGATTGGATCAGTGGAACAGCCAGTAACACTGAAGTCAAGTCTGTAGATTAGTTAGCCGAGTGGGACCAACATTAGCATCCTGGGCTTAAGCACTGTGTTGTGGTTAGGGAAGAGGTGAACCTCTGGGGAAATCAAGCCAATGCTACAAGGAAGTTCTTTGCACTTTGTAACTTTTTTTTGTAAATTCCAAACTCTTTCAAAAGTTAGAAGTCTTTAAAAATTACAAAGAAGCACAGATTACTGGTCCTCACTTCAGAGTGCCTGATTCAGTAGATCTGGGTGGGTATTGGAATTTTACATTTCTAAGAAGGATTCAGGGAAGGCTGATGCTGTTGGCCAACCATGATGTCGTCCTGCACCTCCTCATGCCCTAGGCCCACCACACCCTCAGAAGTAAGAACACATTCACTCTTTCACTCATTCATTCATTCATTGTGAGCCCTCCCAGTCATAGCTATGGTAAGTTTGACTCCACAAATATTCACTAAGGGGAATATGATGTTGGATTCACAGTTCATACACAGAGAAAGTTGGATTCACAGTTCACACACTGTCTGGTTGCTTCTTGGTTGTCTGTTCTGCCCTGTTTTGGGGGAGAGCAATAGTGCTCTCTCCAAATTCCTGAGCATACCCTTATGCTGCCACCCTCTCCTCAACCACAGGTGACCAAACACTTGCTTTGGGGGAGAATGGCTAGGATGGAAACGCTCAGAGCCTGAGCAAAGAGAGCTGCTGAACCGATCTGCAGTTCCTATTGATTTGCATGTTTCTAATAAGGCTCCAATATTTATTAGAGAATATTCTTACATTTAGCCAAATGTTTTTGGCTAAGTCTATGAACCCTGTAATCTCCAAATCAGTCTATGAATGTTTAGTAACTTGAGGGAAGCTGGAAGCATTTCTTTTTCTGTTGTTATTGTTGTTGCAATTTTCTTTTTTTCTTTTTGGCTGGGGCTGGGTTTGAACCCAACACTTCTGGTATATGGGGCTGGCACCCTACTCCTTGAGCCACAGGCATCTCCTTAGAAGCATTTCCATATCCTGGAAGCAGTGGGCTTTGGAAGAGGAAGTCTGTCTAGGAGAGCTTCAGATGCTCACACTGGAAGAGGAGATGCCCGGGGATGGTCTTCACCCTTTGACACCCTCAGCAGGCTGGGAGAGAATGCCAAGACACCACTGAATATGAACAAGGGCTGTGTCATCAATGGAATGAATGCACATGTCTCCTACAGTCCCAGACCATAAATCTTCAAGAAGGGGCCCCTTATGTAGATTAATCTTCACCACAACTTTGGAGTAGAAGCAGGAAGGTTATGTAATCTTCCTGAGGTCAAAGAGCTGACAAGTGGCTGAGTGATCATTTGAACCCTGGCATTGTGGCTCCATAACCACTGCATAAGACTACCTGAAGACCATCTGCCAGGACTAGTTTGACCAGACAATGACTGGTAGTTCTAGAACTCTTGAAGTCACCTCATTGCTGCATACCAAGAATCCTAACAATACCCACCTCTTCTCCATCCAGACACACCGCCAAGCATTTGGAAGACACTACTCATTTAATCTTTATGGTAACTTAGGCAGGAGATCTTGTTATCATTCCCATTTCACAGATGGAGAAACAGAGGCAGAGAGCAGTGACTGACTGTCACCTAGTCATGCAATAAGCCCCATTCCGGGAGCCCAGGCTACTATCTGGGAGGGCCACAGACAGCATTTGCACCTAGGTCTGTCTACTTTCAGAGCCCTTACCCTTAACCCTGATGCTCTGCTGCCTGGAAGCAAAAGAGAGGTACATGGGATAAATATGATGTCTCCATACCCTCCCATTGGAAGAGGAGAGAAGGAACCCACAGACCAGCTGTGTATCCATGGCTTAGAGGTAGAGGGAAGGCTTGGCTCAGAGGGTTATGACATATCCCTGCCTGCTCCCCCAGATAACTGACTCTCTGGAATGGTTAGATGTCTTGTCATTTGATGTGACTGGTCCCTCTTTTCCCTGTCACTGCCTTTTCATCATCCATTGATTCCTTTAACACAAAGGCTCATAAAAGAAGCAACTTTTACACAGGGGTCCCCAGCCTGCTAGAGATGAGCCTGAGGAAATGATCTCTTCTCTGTGACTACATCCTCCTCTCTCCTTCTGGGGTCAGAGTCCCACCACATGCCCCGGTAGCAGATTGCCAAGAGGGAGTATCAGTCACCTGGGGATTTGTCAAAACACAGCTGCTGGGCCCCACCCCAGAGTTTCTGATTCAGTAGATCTGAGTGGGGCTTGAGAATCTGAGATTTGACACATTCCCAGGAGATGCCAATGCTGCTGGTCCAGGGACCACACTTTTGAGAACATGGGCCTAAGAGGTGCTGAAAACTGACCAGGCAAGGAGGGTATCCTGACACTGTTCGAAGGGGCTGCTGCATCTTGTGGGGGCACAAGTGGTATCTTCAGAGAGAGAGGAGACAGAGAAGTTGTGTCCACCATATCATCTGGCACTGCTGCTGCCCTGAGACTCTCAAAAACGTCTTATAGTGGAACGAGCCCAAGATGTGGCCTCCTCCCTCCAGCTTCCCTTTGGCAACATCCCCACCCACAGAGCAGTGTGGACTCCCCTTCTGAGGATGGAAGGGATTTGGGGGTACCTTACCTATGTGCATAATGCAATGATACATTACTAATCTATTAAGAATAGAGTATGAATGTCTTACGACAACAAGTAAGAAAGTGAGGAGATGGTCATGTTAATCAGTTAGATGTAAGCATTCCACATTGTATATCAAATCAGCATATTACACCTCATAAATGCATTAATGTACACAGCTATGATTTAATAAAGAATTAAATAAATAATAAATAATAAAACAGAGTTCATTCTCTAATCAGTGGGTGGGCACAGATGAAACAAAGGGCCACTTCTGCCCTTCATATCAACAAAGCCTAGCCTGATTTTGTAACTCATCAGAGTGAAGTATCTCTGCATCGAAGCACCACTGCTTCTACAGTGCAGGCCAGAAGTCTTCTACCTGCCAAAAGAGAGCCCAGCAAGGCCCAGGAAGGGAAGAGTCCTGAGCCCTCATCCTGGGCCCACTGGGGATGATGTCGGAAATGTCAGACTACATGGGACTGTACGGTCTCAAACATCAGCACATCCTCAGCTCTCCCCAAAGAGACGGCTCCATCATCTCCTAGGCCTCGATGGCAAGAATGCAGCTTCACACGCAGCCTCACCTCTCCAGTTCTGCTCTTGCAGCCTGTGGTTTGAGTTCTGTGGCACTGAGATAAATAAGCCCTCCTAGAGCCACCACCCTCTGGTCATCTGCAGGCTGTGAAATCACCTTTACCCAAATACCTGCTACATAGTTCTAGCTCTCACTGTCTCTTCCCTTTGAGTGCCTATGTGTCTGTAGGTGTGTATCATATCAGTCTTGATGCTTCCCATTATCAATTTCCCTGATTCCCAGCCATCAAAGGCCAAGAGGTCACCCACCAATTCCCAGCACAGAGCCCCAAGGTCAACAAAGATACGTAAGGCTTCATGGATACAAACAGCTGAGGAACCCACCAAACGATGCTGCAACTACTTTCACTCAATTCTTTTGGTGCTTTTTGTTTCTCCTCCAACTTTGAAATGCCCTAACCAAGACTGAGAATCACCTCCCAAAATTCCAATCAAGCAAAATTCTTCAATGATGTGAATGATTAGCCCCAGTCCACTTGGCAATAGCTCGTCATGGAACAAGATAGGAATGGAGCCACAGACCTGGGGGCCTAGACCCAAGTCACATCTTGCCCCTGATCAGCAAGTAGACTGAGGCTCAGGTGGACCACCTGTCTGTCAAATGTGGGTTTGAACCCGGATAGATTCTAAAGTCCCTTGCAACAGAACATCATGGAGCCATCACCAGGTGTCAATCCCTGTGACATGTGCTCTATATGCCTTGACTCATTCAAAAGCCAAAGATCAGTCTAGTCAGGCCCATTTCATAGGAGAAGAAGTCAAGTCTCAGAAAAGCAAATGATCAACCCCAGAGTCTCCCAACAAGTGAACGGCCAGGCCAGAATTTCCCACCATTACTATCCAGCTCTAAGGTCCCTAGTGTCTGTACTGTGACCCAATGTGCTCTTATATGTACCACTGTGTCTTCCTGAAGGGTCTTGGTTTTTACTGTGACAACTACAAGGAAAACAAAGACTTTATCTCAGTTTACACAAGATGCGGGCGGTGGTGGCACATGTCCCAAGGGATGTACATTTGGTGACCTGAGATAACAGTATGAGCGCTGATGCTACTTCTCCTCATGAACTGCCACAGCCTGTCCCCCAAGCTCCCAGGAAGAGCCCATACAAACGGGGCCAGCTATGCCACCCTCACCTGGAAAGGGCTCCTTGAGAAAGTGGCCGTTGATGGTCTGGTTGGCTGTGCCCAGCGGGTTTTTGGCAATGAGGGTGTAGTTGCCATTGTTGTAGTGCGTGGGCTTGTTGAAGAGCAGGCAGCCCTCGGAGACCTCACCCTCCTGGTAGTACTCCACATGGATTATCTTGGACTCCCGCAGCGGCTGCCCGTTGTGCAGCCAGTGCAGCGTAGGCGGGGGGTTGCCACGCACCACGAACTCGATGCAGTGCTCCAGGCGCAGCTCCGGCTCCTCCAGGCTCACCACACGTGGGGGGTCTGCCGGGACAGAGGCCAGCTGAAGCCTCCCACCCCATGCCCTGAGCAGCCCTCCAGCACCTGGGATGTGAATCCCGATTCTTCCCCACCTGTTCTGAAAAGGCTAAGGGGAGCAGAGGCCCACCACCCCCCAACAAAGGGAAAGAGACCCTGTCATAATCCAAGCCTCCTGGGTCCTCTTAGCTGGAGGGTCCCCTCTCAGGACCCTTCAGGGGCTTTACAAAAGGCCAATTCAGGAGTGCCCTGAGATGCTGCTGAGCTGGAGGCACACCAACACAACTCAACCAACTCCAAGGGGCAGGGAAGCTGTCCTGGGCTTACTGCCCCAGGACTTACTTCTCAGTCCCACTCTGTAAGGCTCCTCCTGCTGCTGCTGGAAGCCCAGCCCACTTCTCTAGCTCAGCCCTAGCAACACCACGGACCCTCCCTGGCTCCCACCTCACTGGCCTCACACTGCACTCAGCTATCCCCCACAAGGGTGCACTCACAGTAGACAGTGAGGGCGACGCTGGCATTGCTCATGCCCACCACATTCTCTGCAATGCATGTCAGGGTGAAGCCATTGTCCTCACTCGTCACATTCACCAGCGTCAAGTTGATAGCATGGACATTGGTCCAGTTCAGATTTGTCTGAAAACACCAATGGAAAGACACAATCAAACAGTTTCTACCAGGACAGCTCCCCCACGTAACCCAAAAAACGCCTTTAGGAACCCAAAGGGTAGCTGAGCACATGGCCCGGAGTCTTCCCAGTGAAAGCGCATTCCCGGGTACTGGACCCTTCCCGGGCAGTAGTTCAGGTTGCCATTGCATTAACCCTATGAGGTGGATGTCAGCACAGCACTGCACTCATTTGATATATTAGGAAACTGAGGCACAGTGTAACTGATAAAATTAAACTAGCTAGAAAATATCGCAGTAGGATGGAACACATGTCTATGTTGTATACTCCTATTGTGACAGAGCCACACGATTCCCCCCTTCTTTAAGAATAAAAAGTGATCACTCCCCAACCCCTGGTAGGACCCACACCTAGGTGCCTACCTGGTGGGTGTTGATGGACTGTAGCCCAGTGACTATCCAGTCCACATCAGGCAGGGGCGACCCAGAACCATTGCAAGTGACGACAGCATTGTCACCCTCTCGTACAGTCAGGTTGACATGGCTCACGCTGATCTCAGGAAGGTCTGGGAGCCAGACAAGGCAGGTGAAAAGACAGGCAAACACTTACTACCCAAAGGAAGCTCTGTCCACTGGGCCGACAGTGACACTTCTTACCTTACCCAATAATGGCTGTAAGACCACCTGCTTGGGATCTTGGATGACCTCCCCAAATCCCAGAGGCTTCACACCACCTCCCCAGAGATATCAGAATTCAGACATGAAGCCCACACAGCTGGACCCTCCTGCATGGCAGGGTAGGGCTAAGGCACCTGCTCCAGGAATGGGATTTGGCAGTAAAGCCCAATGGCATCATTCCACTTTGTAATCTAGTTCTCAAAATACTATTGTGTTCCAGATGCCCAGAGAATCTGCTATAAATTCAGATTTCTGGGACACCCCGCCCCCCAGATATTCTGATCTCAAAAGTCTGTGGGCTGGGCTCAGGAATCCACTTTTCTGAAAGCACCTGGGAGCTCCTGACACAGGAAGTCCAGAACCCACGCTTTGAGACACCCCCCCCCCCATTCTGGTCTGGTTGACAGGTAACTCAGAGAGAAAGAGAAGCTGGTCTGGTGGGAAGGAGCACCTTTAAGTCCCACCTGCCTCCCTGATACCAGCCTCCCTACAGCCGGCTCACAGAGAGACAGAAAGGAACGAGGAGGGGAAAGGTGAGTCAGTCTGCACCCGACCTCCAAGACCAGGGCTGGAAGGGCATGTGGGAAGGAAGCTGCTCAAGTCCCAGCAGCATCTCGGGTGTCTGAGGGATGACGCCCCCTGGAGCCGGGTGGGGGAGGGCAGCCACACACTCACCACACTGACTGATGTTCATGCGGAAGAGAGGGAGCTGCGAGCCGTCGGCGCTGATGCAGTACAGGTTCTGGGCGTTCAGCCTGGCCTCCCCCTGCTCCTGCCACAGCTGCATCCAGCGGATGTCACAGCTGCAGTTGAAGAAGTTCTGTTCCAATCTCCTGTGGGCGAGGAGAGAGAGGAAGGGAATCTCTGAACCGAAGAAGGCCCAGCTCCCTCCCAGGGCTGTGAGGCCAAGGGGGGCCCCACCTGTCCATCAGGGATTAAGGAGAGATGGGGCTTAGCAAGGTTGTGAAAGAAGTAGAAAAAGACTTAAAAGTCCATATATTTTAGTTTTAAAACTAATAAGCTCATTAACAAAAAAAAAGAAAGAAAGAAATCCACTGCACGTAAGACTCCTGGTGAAGGAACCCTTTTAAACATATCACTTGGGGATGCTCTTCTTCTCTACACGCTCCAGGGGATTATATCTCATTGCAAATCAAAATCAAAGCCCTATCTGATCTGCACCATTCTCCATCACCTCGCTGACCTCATCTCCTACCTCACCCCCTACTGCTGTTCAGCCACACTGACCTTGATATCTGCAAGTTCACCTGCAGGACTGGCTCATCCTCTCCCCAGGACCTTTGCGGTGCCCTGTCCCCTGTGCCTGCTGAGCTCTCCCCCAGCATATGGCTAAGCCTGGCTCCCTCGCTTCCTTAAGGACTCATATAGCCTTCTCTAATTGCCTCCTGTTAAAAAGCCACCAACCCCTGCCCTAACCCTGCCTAGCCATTGCCTCACTATAACATATTCTTCTTTCGAAAATGTATCCCCACCAACATCACTTTAAATATTTATTTTACTTTGTTTATTTATTCATCTCCCCAAATCAAGAATAAACTCTATGAAGATTAGAGACGTTGCCTATTCAGCTCATTGCTATATCCCCAGTACCTAAGAACTGAGCCTGGCATATAAATTCTTATTGAATGAGAGAAAGAGAAACAGAGACAGAGAAACAGAGTGTGTGCTACTGTCCCTGATAGGAGGAGGTAGTCAGCTGCTTCCAAGATATACTCAAAGCCCATCCTGGGACCAGCTTTATTCCTCCATGAATTCAACAAATTCTTAATAAGCACCTACCCCTTATCTGGCATGGGCTGAGTACTGTGGCTACAGAGATGAGTAAGATGGTCCCTGTACTCCAGGAGCACTCAGCCTGGTGAAGAAGAATGTCTGATGGAGAAAGAGTCACCTTCAAGGCCCTCCTTCACTGATTTTCCTTGTGATTTGAAGCAAGTCAATGAGGTTATTAAAGAAACGATGAACAGCATTAATCAATCCAAAACTCTTGGCACTAAGAGCATGGGATAAATCTGAATGTCTGGCTCACCCGGGAGAACAAGATTCTCTCTCTGGACCAAGGGGATGCATGTGTTGGTGCCCACAGGGAAGGGCACTTGGCTCACTACACTGAGACCCGGGATACCTTCAACAACTGGAAAACCCCCAAATAGTTAAACATGCATCAGAGTCAATTAGCTTTCAAGAGGCAGCAAGTGCCCTAGAGAGAGGATTCGTGTTTCTAGACTCCAGGACACTGCAGACAGAATGTCCGAGTACCCCAACCTAGTATCATCCCCTTAGCCTAACAGTGCCCACGAATTCTCCCTGCACCTGGTGCTCTTCCAGCAAAGGCGAAGGGAGAGGAGCGAACCTTCACAGAGCATCTGCTTCTTGCAATAACCCGAGGAAATGGCCAGTATGGTGCCCTTACAGATGAGGGGCCTTGTGTGATGTTTGGAGGAGTTAGATCACATGCTCAAGGTCCCTTGGCTAGTGTTCCACAGAGCAAATCTCTGCTGGACTCCAAAGCCCATCCCCTCTCCCCCCCATCTGTCACATGCAAGGCATTGCTGGGTGCAATAGGGGAAGCAGAGGAACAAGACCAGAGCCGTGATTCTAGGAACTCACACAGTCAGAGACTATGGGGAAGACCCACAGGGAAGTACCAAGGGCAAGGGAATGTTGTAAACCAAAGTGTGAACACAGGACAGAAAGGCTTAGAGGGCAGAGAGTTTGTGTCAAGGAGCACTGGGAAATAAAGCTGGACGGGTGAGTGGAAGCCAGGCAGTGGAGGACTTTCACTTTGCTATCAGCAAGTTGGGAATTCCTCCAGGAGGCAATGGGAAACCACCAAGGCCCTCAGAAAAGGGAACAGTGTGGACAGAGAAGCTCAGTACAAACAGCAACCCAACAATACCATACAGAGTAGACTGGAGAAAAAGGGAGCTGAAGACAGGGCAGCAGCTAGGAGGGCTTCCAGACACCGGGTCACCATGGACAGCTGCGCAGTTTGTGCACTTCTCAGAGTACCCAGCCAAAGGGACAGGCAGGGAATGTGATCCAGTCTGCATACCTTTATCTAGCCCCAGGGCCCTGGAGATGCAGCTCATTCACCCCAAAAGAGCATCTTGTCTACCTCAAGGACAGGCACCATGGAGATGGTAGGGTCTCTAGGTCAGTGTTCTTAAACTTCTGTTCTCAGAACTCCTTTTCACTCTTTAAAAAAGTTACTGAGGACCTCGAAGAGCTCTTGTTTATATAGGTTGTATCTATGACTAGTTACCATATCAGAAATTAAAACTAAGAAAGATTTAAAACACATTAAGCATGCAGTCCACTAGTCATTAGAGCAACGTCATTAGAGCCCATGTCATATGGCTTCCAGAAAAGTCCACTGTACACTCAAGAGAGAATGAGAGTGAGAAGGGCAAATAGTGCTCAGTGTTATTATGAAAACAGACTTATAACCTCCTCAAAAAGGTCTTGGGGCTCCCTATGGAACCCTGGACCTCCATTTGAGAACTCCTGCCTGGTTAACAGGGGTGGTTAAAACTTAGGGAGAGGGGCAGGAAGACCCGGCAAACATCGCAAGGTGGACAAGGCTTGGTGCTTTGATGGTGGTAGAAGAATAAGAAAGAGTGAAAAATGACCCCAAGGTGTTAAACCCCAAGGGATAGGAAATCAACGGCGGAGAGAATTGCCTTTGGTTGGAAACAGAAGAGAAGGACTCAGTGGAAAGGAAGAGATGAAATACATTTGGAGTGGGACGGGGGTGCGGAGGGAGTGATCAGGTTCTGGAAGAGGAAAGGGAAGGATATGGTCAAGGCAAGATGCCCATGTGGCTGGGAAATGAGACTGACAAAAGAGAAAAGGGAGACAGGAAATGAGAAAGAAGTAATGACAACGAGAGGATCGTACCATCAGCACTGCACATGCCACGGTGCCAACACCAGGCGGAATGCCTTACCACATACCCCTTCATTTACCCTCACAACAAACGAGGAAGCCTGGGGAAGGCAGGGGATGTCTGAGGGCTCTTAGCAAAGCACAGGTCAGATGAGCTGTCTGGCCTTTGTGGGAGAGGGAGGCCTGAGGGGTGGGGAGGTTTGAACTCACACTGTAGGGGCAACAAGGACTAGCCCGGCAGCCCTGCCGGAGTGACGCTCAGGGTCAAGATGCCTGAATAGATGCAAACTGAAACAGGTCAGCCTGGGTTTTCCCAGCTGCTCATTTGACAAGATGCAGTCATTCATTATTAAGTAGGTGTAAAAATACAAATTATCCACCTGGGTGGAAAAGACTAGACAAGCCAGGGTTCGGCTGGATCGCCACAAGCCGCACAGCCCTTTATGCAGTCCTGTCTCCGTGCACATCCCAGTAACTCAGCCACCCCCCCCTCAAGGCAGACAGTGCCAAGTGGCCTCAGGCTGGCAGGAGAATTAGGAGAGACGTCTGGGATGAGCTGAGGATGCTGCCAGGCACAGGATGGTTTTTCATTTCCCTTCCATCCTGTCCCTCCAGGGCCCTGCTTACAGGACCTAATGCAGCGAAAGGGAGGCACCTTGAGACCTGGTCCTTTGCTGCAATCTGGAGTCTCCAGGAAACTGCAAAAAGAGCCTTCAGTTTTTTTCTCCCATCCCTCTTGACTTTCCTCCTAAAGAACATGACACACAGACACACGTAGCAGAAAAGCATTTGGAGTCTGAAAACCACAGCAGCCTGGACAGCCTGCTAAGCAAAGCCACAATCATCTTTATATCCCGACAATGGAGGGTTGGAACAGTGGGTTGGGTGAGGTGCAAAGACAGGCAGGTGCTAGGTCGGAATGATGCTGTCTCTCCTGTGTCCCTTCTCCCATCCAACCAGGTCTACAGCACAGGAGCCTTAAACTGCGGTGGAAGGGACTCCAAGAACCTAAATCATGGCTTTCCATGCTTCGTTAATAATGCAGGTGGCCCCATGAATAATACAGTGGCAGCCGCTACAGGGCACAGTTTACCAACACCCAGCCCTTGCCCCAGGGTGGCCTGGGGCCTAATCACAGGGCCCTGGAGGCTCCCCACAGATTAACTCAGCCCCATCTGAGCTCTACAAACAGGCACTTTGCAGCATAGCCAAAGCAGAGACTGGATGTTTTAAAAACATCCATTCCCTCCAGCCATCACTCTGGCCCTTTTCTACTCCCCTCTCCAACATCAGCACTGCCAGTGGCAATCCTGGGGCCAGGCCGAGGAAAATGGAGACGGGGTCCAGATCAAAAAGAGTATCCTTGATGTCATGGGCCAGGCCTCCTTCAAATAACAACAGGCGAAAGGTAGGAAGAGCACAAAGCAAAGATCTGAGTTGAGCCAGCTATGTCACCTTGAACAAATACAGTGGGTTAACCTGTGTCCTCCACAAAGATAAGTCCAAGTGCTAGGCCTCAGTCTCTGTGCATTCAACCTTACTGGGAAATAGAGTCTTGGCAGATGTTACGAAGTTAAGAATCAAGGGATGAGACCATTCTGGATTTCAGATGAGCCTTCAATCCAAAGACTGCTGTCCTTAGGAAGGAAAGGGGGATGAATACAGCTATGTGAGAAGGAGGAGAGATTGCAGGGATGCTGCCAGAAGCCAAGGAAAACTAGGAGCCACCAGAGGCCTTTGAAGAAAAGGAGGCCCTGCAGACAGTCTGATTGTAAACTTCTGGCCTCCAGAACAATGAGACAACGATTTTCTGTTGTTTTTTGGTTAAAGTACTCCCAGGGAACTAATACAAGTGACTTAATTCTCTAAGGCTCTATTTTAACATTCATAAAATAGAGATAATTGTGCTCACCTCCTTCTTCACAACTTATTATGAGGATTGGCAATAATATACATTAACATGCTTTAGGAATTAAAGGCGGCTGTAAACAGGCTAGAAAGGGTCATTCGAATAGTACTATTATTAACAATATTATTGTTGTTTGGCAACTTCTCCCCGAGACCTGTGGTAAATGGTCACAGCCAAGGCTGGAAGAAGAAAAGTGCCAGAACCAGTCCAAACCCATCCTTGACACTGAGTTAATATTTTACCAAGTCGATTAAATCTGTAAATTATACCAGAGGTAATTACCACTTTGCTTTAAGAAAATGAAATATTCCAATCTATTTTAATCATGTCTGCTCAGCACGTGCAGGGTATCAAGACAAGCCTGCTTGAGATACGCTCACGGTCCTCGGGGTATTTCTGGAGGGTTTCTGTGCTGTGGGTTTATATCCTCTGGTGCCTCTTCTCATTGCCCAAATTATATCATGAGATTCAGAAGCCAAGCTTCTTTTCCCCCAATGTATTCTTTATCTCTAAGACAATCGTTCTGATTCTTGCTCTGATTTTGGACAGACAGTTCCAGTCTTCTCTGGAAGGAAAAAACACCATCTTGCCATATCCAGAAACTTCTGAGAGTACTGGGCAAGGCCAAGTCCAGTTTCTTCAAACTTGTGCCCTTGAAACAGTGCTGGCAACTCTAAAGCAAACCAGGAGAGGTGCTTCCAGCTTGCTCTGTGAAAGGCACATCCCTGGACCAGCAGGAGGCTGTGGGCTGGGTGCCTGACCGGGACCATCACCCCACATCTCACAAAAGTAAATGAGAGAACATAAAGCAAGGGTCTTGGCACAGGGCAAGGACTCTGAGATGGTATCTTGTTTTTCTCCTGTGACTCTGCTCGGGGGAGCTGCCACCTTGAGAGTGGTTTCTGGAAGGAGACACTTGAGCATATGGGATGTGCTGCTGAGCTGGGTAAGGGAGAAAGCGTGGTCATTGGAAAGAATGGACCTGGATGGCAATAACACTAAAAATCCCAGATTTACCATTTACCAGTGGTACAAATTCCCAGATTTACCACTTACCAGTCACGTGAGCTAGGGCTAGTTGTTTGAGTTGGCCAAGCCTCAAATCCTTCCTTTGTAAAATTGATTATATTGATACCTCTCTTGTGGGATTGTTCCAAGGATGAGACATGACCTCTTACATATAAGGTGCTCAATATATGCCTCCTCTTTCTCCTTCTATCCTTCTGGAAAAGTCATATACACTCAGTTTTTCCAATGGGGAGTCTCAACACCACCAGTTCTTATATTAGAGATCTTCTAGTGGGAGGTCTTGTTTGAGTCCCAAATGCCTTTCTAGGGCTCAGGATTCTTACACATAAAATGCAGAAGAGAATAATGACACCTACCTCTTATGACTCTTGAAATAATAAATCTAAGGTCATATAAATAGGAGAGGGGCTGGCTGGGGGCATAGCAGAGAGTCTCAGTGACCGGATGCAACGTGCTAAGGAATCCCTCAACACCCTCGGTTGCCTCTTCATTCCTGCAGAGGGTCACACAAAGTCTCATACTTCTGGCATGTGGCTTTTCTGACTGCCACGGCACACTGAGCTCTTTCTCCTCCAAGGCCCAAATTCTTTCTCCCATGGAAATATGTGATCCATCCCCACACCCCAGCCCACAGGCTCCATGGGGCAGACCCTGGCACTCTAGATGGCTAATGGCAGATGGCGCCATGTGGACTAATCAGGAAGTCGGACAAGAAAATACCACCCCCTCTTCCATTTGCCAGGAACTGGGATTGTTTGGATTTTAATCATAGCCACTGTTAAGAGCCAACACACAGCCCCTCCAGCCAAAAGATAAATTTTCCACTCTCAACATTCAATTCTTCCTCAAAAAACAGACCCCCACCAGGGCAATTGCTCCTTAGAGGGGGGTTTCTTTATTCTCCAATATAATTTTTTCTTATTTAACAATATGACAGAAATAAAATACTCCACAGACATGGTGGCGCTCACACACTGACTCACACTGGAGGGAGCGTCTTCATTCCTCCATAAGTCACATGCAGCTCACCGGTGTATTGATTCTGGGCAAAGATGAATGCAGGATCCCATGATCCTCTGGGAGAAATCTGACATTTTCTTTAAATATATATCCACGGAACAACTGTTTCTAAAACTCCACGAAACAGGTCACCAGGGCAGCAGCACACCATTGATTTCTCATCCAATGATTTTTTTAGAAAGAGCACTGAACGTTTTCTCAATAATTCAGCCAACGGCAGACCCCAGATGTTCCCTGGAGAGACGCTGCCCCTGGCCTCTCACAGATGAAGGGGCAAGCGTGCCAAGAGCATGAGATGCAAGACTCCCATGAAAGAAAGCCCCCAAAGCCCCTAAGCAATTCTAGGGTAACATAGAAAGAACCACAATCATGTACTTTTTGAAATTTATTGTAGAATAATCTTGCCTTGGAAACAGATGGAAAAAGTTGGAAACCAGTTGAGCATAATGGCCAAGGTTTTGATTCAACATACTACCACTTATTTAATGAGTGACCTTAAAGAGGACACTTAAATGTGCTAAGTGCCTCAATGTCCTTGAATGTGAAATGACAGTAATAAGTTCTACCTTATTGAATTGTTGTAAGGATTAAACTAAATGACATATATAACTTAATAGATTGCTTGGCATAGTGCCTGGCACAGAGGAAGAACTCAGAAATCAGTGCTAGTAGTAAATTATAGTGGTCATGTTCATTTACCTCTAGGATCTTTTCCACTTATGGTATACAGGTCTGTCATGGAGTAATAGGCTATTGAACATTGGATGCAAATATTCCCCTTCCTGAACAACTGAGTCTGAAAAGGTAAGGTTATGACTCATTCATGAACTCAGGTCTTGCCAGGAGGTATAGGTCTCCCTGGCAAGTGAGAAAAACCAACAGCATAATCAGAGGTCCAAGTGATTGCCTCTTGGTAAAGACAGTAAAACAATGTGCATTCAGTGAATTTGTAACTGAGTTACCAAGTAAAAGTAAACACATGGACAGTGTGACTCACTAACATCATCCGTGCCTCAATTCCTTTGCAATTTATTCCTTGATTTATATTTACAACATAATATGCTGTCCTTCATGCACAGAGATGACCCCAATGACTCACACATCAACATGAGTTATTTTTTCCAGCAGTAGTCACGAATTTTCACTCATCCAGCCAACACTTGTTTGTGTATAATGGCTGGCTGGGGTAGGGGCACACTGATCAGCCTTGGACTGTAACAAGGCTAAGCAATCCACATGCAGATTGAATAAATATATGGCTCCACTCTGGCATTGCTCTACTTAAGCTAAGTAAGCTGAGAGAAGATCACTAGTGGTGAAAAGACAAGCAATCTGAAGTCAGAAGGCTTAGGTTCAAGTCCTGATTCTACCAGTCTCTAGCAATGAGATCCTGGTTGAGTCTCAACCCTTCCTAGGGCTCAGGATTCTTACCCATAAAATGCAAAGAATGACACCCACCTCTTATGACTACTGCAATAGTAAATCCAAAGACATGTAAATGAAAGAACCTGACAATCTATAAAGTTATGGATCATGAATGTTAATTTTTTTTTTTTTTTTGAGACAGAGCCTCAAGCTGTCCCCCTGGGTTGAGTGCTGTGGCATCACAGCTCACAGCAACCTCCAACGCCTGGGCTCAAACGAGTCTCCTGCCTCCACCTCCCAAGTAGCTGGGATCACAGGTGCCCACCACAATGCCTGGCTATTTTTTGGTTGCAGCCATCATTGTTGTTTGGCGGGCCCAGGCTGGATTCAAACCCTCCATCTTAGGTGTATGTAGCTGGTGCCTTAGCCACTTGAGCCACAGGTGCCGAGCCATGAATGTTATTTTTAATAAATTGACAGATAGTCTTTATTGTTATCAATAGTATTATTATTACTAATTACCTACAGGTCACAAAACTAAATCCTGATAAAGAGATGAGATTCCTGTTTTCTGAAATAGCCTATGCCCAGAAAGAGCATCAGAAATCAAGCAATGGGGTGGATCGCCCTCACTGAACATGGTACGCTTTATGTCATCCAACCCAAGTAGCCCCTTCAAGAGGTGTGCCCAGCCTTCAAATAGCTCCACTGCTGACACCTCTCTGCACCCACCTACTACGACCACTTCAGTACCTGGACAGTCTTCAAAACCGAACTTACAATTCCCGAAGACTCAGCGTCTGGAAGAGCTGCCACGAGAGTGTGGTGAGCCGGTTACTCGACAGGTTTCTGCAAGATTGACACACAAAGAAGAAATTAAAAAACAGATCTGGCATAAGCAATGTCCTCGGTAGCAAACTTGGTCATTCTGGTGGAGCCTGGCTTTGGTTTTCTTCTTCTTCATTCTGTTAGGCTCATGATACATCTGCTAATAGTGGAGACCACAGATCGGGTTTGGAGAGGCTTCTGAGGTGTTTCAAAGAGCGAGATTTTACAAATCAAATAAACAATAAATTCTCTCTCTCAGACATTCTCCCATAGCCTTTCCTCACAGTAAAAGCTCACCAAGTTTTCACAAAGCCATCCTTCTCCTGGAAGACAGAGCGCTTTCGGGGTACACAAGGCAACAAGCATTGTTAAAATGAACGCTGGACGAAAACCTCTGAGGGTCACCTGCAATTCCTTTTAGCCAGTGTCTCCCCTGGCAAACATGCCCATCAGTGATCAAGACATCAGCCTTTTGTTCATGCGTCTGTTCTCTTCCTAATGGCTATTTAATTGTTCTCATTAGGATGTACAGGGAAAAGGAGCAGCCATTAGTCTTCTGAATAAAAGAAGAAACACGCCCACGGTTATTACTTCGCCAGGCTCAACAACTTTGGATGCGATAACAGCCCTTCAAGGCAGCAGTTAGACACTGCTAGGACTGAAGTGGCACCCCAGGAACAAGGTACTCATCTACTGATGGGAACTGATGGTAGTGCTGATGCATTTAGGTAAATATCTATTCAAACACAGAAGCATGTGTACACTTGTGTCTATTAAACATGTAGGTAGTAAATGCAAATACAGACTCTTATTTACACACACACACATTCTTATACATGCACCTATATTTAGATGACTTCTATAGCAAATATTCATGAAAAGTCAAAAATAGGTATGTTTACATGGAGGAATGAGGGGGTGGACTATTGAGAGGGAAGGTGAGTTCCCTCTGGAACCTTATACATGTATTTAAGTTACAAATGAATAAGCAGAAGGAAGAAGATAGCCAAAGTGATGGAAATAACTGACGCAGGAGGGGGGAGGGCTCAAAGGAACTGCCTTCTGAGAAGGAACGCTGGACCTGAGACAAGCGGAATGAGAATGAGCACCAAGGGAGCAGCGTTCCGGGCAGTGGAAGTAGCAAGTTCAAAGTCCTGAGATGGGGGGGGGGGCTGGAAGTGCCTTGGGATAAGTGGCAGAGGGACTCCTGCCACACCCACCTCGCTGGCCATGGGGAAGAGTTTGCTTTATATTTTAAAGAGTGACAGGAAAGCATCTCGTGGTTTTCTGTACGGAAGTGACATAATCTAATTACCATTTTAAAAAACAGATCAAGACTGGAAGTTGGCAGGCCAGTGGGAGGCTGCTACAGTATTCCAAGCAAGAGAAGGGAGTAGAGGCAATTAAGTGGATGGATTCAAGATAGGTATTGGAGGTAGAGTTGCCAGAACTTCTTACTGGATTGGATTTGGGAGAGGAGAGAAAGAGAATTAATTATATGATCAGGTGAGTGGGGATGTCATTAGCAAGATGAGGAAAGCTGCCAGAAGGTCACACTGAGGTAGTGGGATCAAGCGTCTCCCTCACAATTATGAAGTTGAGATGCCAACTGGCTATCCAGAGAGAAATCAAATAGCTGGTTGAATAAATAGGTCTGGAGCTCATGGGAGAAGTTGCGGCTGGTGAGATCACCTAGGGCGAGAGTCTACCCAGTGCACAACAAGACCAGATATTCAAATACAAGAACAACCTAAGGGATAGGCCTCATCCTTCTCATGGGATGCAGCCCTGCCTGGAGTTAGCTGGCTTGGCCTGACCTAGCTGGGTCTCTGAGACAGGAATATGCGGATGAGGCAGCCTTGCTCTGAGGGTGCAGGGGGCAGGCAGAAAAAGGACAGGACCACAGGTGGGTGTCTCCCAAGTTTACTGCTCCACCGTCTTCCCTGCACCCGGCACTCTTCCCCTTTAGTGTCCTTAAGCCCACAGCCACCCCTGGGATAGTCCCCGCAGCTCTCCACTCTCACCCGCCCCCTCCTGCAGGGCTGAGAGCTCTGCTGAGTCGGCAGTGTTCACCAAAAGCCCGCCAAGCCGTCCACAGCACTCAGCTGCACAAAACTCCTAACTGTAAGTTTTATTTCCACCATTCCTACACCCAGAGGAGATGGGCAATGAAAGAACTGCAATATGACCACTTGAGGACGCCACCTGGACAGAGCTCCCTGCAGCAGCCGAGGTGGAGATGTGTGTCTGACACACTCCCCTGGGGAGTCACTGACTCTGCCCCAGCTACTACACCAGGCCCTCAGAACTTAGGTTGAGGACAATAGATTTCCGTACCACTCTCGGAGTCTCATGCCATTAGCCTTCATGATGTTTTAGTAGATCGGAATGTTTGATTCATCTAGGTAGAAATCTTCTGTTTTGCTCTGTTTTCATGCACAGTAGCGTCCATGGTGACAAGTGCTGGACAAGCCCCACACTTCCAAGCCATACAGAATAGCTGCAGCACTCTGGAGAGATGTCCAGCCCAGCATCCTCCTTTAGCTCGCTCCCCTCACCAGTACCCTCTTGAACAAAACCCACGGTTCTGAAGCGAGCAGCAACTTCCCACAGGCAGCCAGAAACCGAGACACAGTGAGCTGTGGGGAACTTGCAGTAAGATACAAAAGCAGCTTGTGGGAGTGCGCAGGCCAGGAGATGGGAGCAGTCCAGGTGAAGTGGACGGCCCTGCCCATCTTCGAGGGAGGAGCAGGCAGGGGGTCTGCCAGGAGTTCCAGGGAGCCCCCGGCAGAGAGCGGGCTACCAGCAATGTCCTCTCACAAAGGTCACACTTTGCTACATTAGGCAGAAATGTCAAAAGAAAATTGGATTCTAAAAGAAAGAAAATAACAGGCATTCTGGGCAAATAAAGAGTAAGAAAGAACATTATTTCCTTATTACAAGCCAGACGAGGTAGGGCTCCTGGGACACCCGGGAGGTGGGCTCCTGCTTTCAAAAGGGTATCATCTCAGCTTCATCTCCTCCCTACCCACCAAGTCCCACCTGGGGAAGAAAGACCCCCAGCTCTTCGTTCACATGGAGCAGCCACTATAGCACTTATGTGCTCTGCCCAAACACACACACACAACCCAGTGCACACTGTGTATGGCACAGAGAAAGGGACACTGTACTGCACGAGTCCAGGGAGGAGCGCAAGTGCACAGCCTGTGCAGCTGCACACGGCACTTGCCAGACACGTGATAGAAGCCCCCGGACCCAGAGACAAACTCACACAAAAACAAGTAAGGCAAATATACACACACCACAAAACCAGCCAGGCACCTGTCTGGCCTGTCTGCCCTCACAGGCATTTATGAATTCTCACTGTTCTGGGTAAATGAAGACATCAAGGCACAGGGCTTCAATATGAACTCAGAACTCACTGCCTTCTAGCTGGTGACTCACCTGTATTCACCTGTCATTAGTTATTGATGAGCTGGTCATCCTGCTCATCAGACAAGAGTTTAATTAAGCACCATCCTGCCTCTGTGCCCTATGGCAGCCTTCTTTCTCCCCATGCCTCCTCCTAAGAGATCCACTACCATCCATCTCTGACTTTTGCTTGGGTCAGTGGCCAGTTTCCAGACTACCTGACCACTGAATTAATTTGTTGAGCAAGATTTTATGAGATGATGCATCAAATGCTTTCCCAAAATCAAGCTCCATGACATTGCCCCCTCCGTCTCTCATCCGAGGCACCCAAACAAAGCCATTAGTTTTGTGCTGCACAACTGGCCCTCTCACAGCCTGGACTCTGGGGCCCAGAGGTAGTAAACAAGGATGATGTGGCTGCTGGGTACTCTGGGCACAAAGACCCAGACACACATATGGCTGAACGCTGGGCTCTGAGGTGTGATAGGGCTGAGATGACCCCTCCTACATTAACCTGATGTGAACACGGATCCTCCCAGGCAACAACTGCTCTGACCAGCAGAAACCACAGCATGACAAGCAGCCCTGTGAACTTTCTAATGGTGGCACCAACTATGGCAGGAATGGAGGTCCATAATTGGGGAGGATGTCACCCTCTTCCCTGGGAACCCTATTGCTACAAAAGGGTCAATAGATAGACCCTATCACCAAAAGAAACCAACCAGATGAATCCTTCTGCTGCCCCTTTGGGAGATGAGGGTTGAGAAGAAACATTAAGCCCTGTCCACACAGTGATCCTCAAGATGGAAGGGTTTGTGGATTTCCTAGATAAAGCATGGGCAGACATCTGGAAGCACCTTCTCTTCTACTGGCAGAAGCAGGCCCAATGGGCAGGTATGTTTTAGGGTGTGTGTGTTCAGGACTGTTGGGAGCAGGTGCCTTACATCCCTGTGCTAATAAGCCAGGGGCATCCTCACCCGCTCACGTCAACATCTCAGACCCATGCAGCTCCCAGATGCTCACTGCATCGCTGCATCTCTTTGGCCCATCTCACTTAGATGTTGCAATGGGCTGAACTGTGCCCCCCCCAAATTTATATGTCAAAGTCCCAACCCCCACTGTGACTGTAGTTAAAGACAGGACCCTTTACTGAGGTCATTAAGGTTAAATGCGGTCATAGAGGTGGTCCTCCATCCAATAAGACTGTCGTCCCTGTAAGAAGAGGTAAGGTTGCAGACGTGTACAGAGAGAAAAGACATGAAGACGGTGGAAGGAGAAGATAGCCAACTGCAAGTCAAGGAGAGAGGCCTCCGAAAAACAGCCCTGCCAACGACACCTCCATCTCCGACTTCCAGCCTCCAGAACCGGGCGGAAATAAATTCCCATTGTTTAAGAGACCCAGTTTGTGCTTTGTGTTCTATCTAGAAGCAACAGCAACTAATACACCTGTTCTCTGCCCTGCATTTGCCCCAGGGTCCTGACAGCCAAGTTGGCTGCCCCACTGTGGTCCCTGAAAGCTTCCAAGTCATGGTTTTCTGTCACCCACTTGCTCTCTTTGTCCACGCTTTCTTGATCAGCGTTCAGCCGCTAACTAAGATCCCATCTGGATC